ACGGATGCGCTCGCCACCAGCGTGCGGGCTGCCTTGTCCGTGCCCCCACGCTCGGTTCCAATGTCACTGGATGGCCGGAGCGCGTACCACTCCATGTCCCGCGCAGCCTTCCTCAGCAAGCTACGCAAGGTCGCGCCAGAGCTCCTTCCCTTCGTGCGGCTCTTTTACGGCCAGCCCTCCGGTTACTGCTGGTGGGACGCCACAGGTGCATGTCGGACCGCGAGGGCTGCGAGCAGGGCGATGCCCTTGCCCCGGCGCTCTTCGCGCTCGGCGAACACGAAATGCTCTGTCGAGCCGCGGCCGAACTGCATCGGGATGACGTGCTGCTAGACTTCCTCCACGACCTCTATGTCGTTACGGTTCCAGAGCGCGCCCGGACGGCCCTGGACAGTGTGACGAAAGCCGTCGAGACCCAGTGTGGCATCGCCTCCAACTTCGGCACAACAAGGACGTTCGCGCTGGGAGTGACGCCCCCCACCGCCAGGCATCTCTGAGCTTGGGGCCGGGGTGTGGCGAGGGGACAAGCCCCCGGCTGAGTGAGGCCTAGTTGTCCTTGGCACCCTAATCGGACACCCCGATTTCGTGCAAGCATGGGCGGCCGAGCGCATGCAATTGGAACACAAACTCCTCCAGCAGCTACCCGAACTACCGGACCTGCATTGCAGCTGGCTCATCCTCGCCATGCCTGCCCCACATGGCACGCCCTGTTGGAAGAGGGGCGCCCGCCCCCCGGCGGACGATGCGGGGCCGGGAGACTAGACTGGCCGCATGGATGGCAGATGATGCGAATCCTCAACACACACTTCCGCGACCGTACGCTGCTGCCCGACATGCCGCCCAGTTTTCAAGCACTTCTGCGACCCCAGGCAGGACCGCAGGCCGGCGCTTAACTTGCTGCGATCCGTCGTGTACGAGGTGCTGGGCAGCGGTGGAGCGCAGCGAGCGCGCCACGTACCCAGAACTAGCGCGGGGAGGGCCACAAACGTTCGTTGTGCTCGGCTCGGAGGTGGGTGGCCATTGGAATGCCCAGGCCCGAGGAGCAGCAATAATGGGACCGCATCCTCGTCGTCGTCGTCGTCCGTCGTCGTCGTTGCAGTGGTCTCGGTCGTTGTGATCGACGCCGTCGTCGAATGATCTGTCCGCCACTGGGAGATAGCAACAACAGCAACGGTGCTTGGCAGGTCACCATAGCAATCAGAGGTAATGTCGGGGCCGGCATAGTTACACGAGTTTGGGTTCCTCATTTTGGCTTATAGCACTCTATACCCCCAAAAGACCCTTCTCATCATCATTATTGAGGCCTCTATCTTATCCTATTCACAGTTCTCTCTGTGGAGCCTCGAACTACCAGTTGATCCCTAAACCCGGAAACCTTAAGCCGGAAGCCTCTAAACCCCTACACACTCCATGCGGCTGCCCTCGTACAGGGTTCTTGCTAAGGGGCGTAGCTTAAGTTACCAGAAGAAGGAAACTCTCTTATTTACTATAGATCCTATTATGGCATCTTAAGTCAAGTCGCCTAACAAGCGTCCAGCTTACTCCAACTGATTTCTATAGCAAGAGCTCAGCCTAGGAGTGCAGTCGAAGCCCCGAGTGGGGACCCTTTCGAGTTCAGCTGCTGGAGACTGCAGAGGACATGCGCGGCTGGGTCAAAACTTGGGGTTTTGGGATTCGAGCTCAGGATTTTCAGGTTTCGCCGCCCGGGTGTCGGTTTTAGGGTTTGGGTGTTGGGATTTGGGTTCTTCCGTCTCGGGTTAAGGAGTTCGGGCTTTCGGGTTAAAGCTGTTCGGGTCCATTTCGGAAGCTACGGGATACTGTAACTACGGTTTAGTTATTCTACGGGCAGCTTGTTGTTTCTTCCGCTTTCTGGTCTTCCAGGTTTCGGTTGGTGGTGCAGAGTTTTTGCTTTTCGGGTGTTCGGGTTACCGGGTTTATGGCATCACGAATGAAACGATTGCCAAGACCACTGCAGGGTCCCAGCGCCTCCCCAATCCACTTAAGCCTCGTCCGCGGTGGATGACACTTAGAGGGATCCTTATACCATTTAAGGACCGCAAATTCGATCTAGTCCGAGTATCACCTACATCCGCGGTGCATGCCTCCACTAAGGGATTTTGAGTGTCTCTGTCTTCATCACGGCCCAGGTGTTGAACTGGCTTACGAGAAGATGATGGCTGCTTGGTTGAACCTCTATCAACACACGTACATTGTGTAACTTGCGATTCCCATATCAGACGTACCCGAACACCCTGAACCCGAATTTCGGGTCTTTCACTCAAGTCGTGGCTTCGAGTTGACCTTGGTGTTCGTGTAAACAGCATTGGCTTGACAGGTTTTCAAGATACGTCATACGCATCAAAAAATCGACACAAACTTTCATTCTGTTGTTCTTTTGCCATCAATCAGTTTCTAATCATGGCTCAACAGAAACCCTAGACTCCAGAATCCTAAACCCTAAACCCTAAACCCCAGAATCCTAAACCCTAAACTGCCCTAAACCCTAAACTCCAGAATCCTAAACCCTAAACTGCCCTAAACCCTAAACTCCAGAATCCTAAACCCTAAACCCTAAACCCCAAACTCCAGAATCCAAGACCCTAGGCCCCAAACCCCTCATCCTCCTAGTACCCGCCGAGCTTCCGCAGACTTTATTGGAAGCCTCCTAAAGCCCTTACAACTCTCCCAGGAACCCGAAACCCGAAGCATCCCTGAACCCTAAACCCCAAATCCTAAACCCTAAATCCTAAACCCTAAACCCTAAATCCTAATTCCTAAATCC